TAGTCACTTTAGGCGCGTATTTAATAAAGTTATCTCTTTAAACTCGGGTGCACATTGATGTGAGCCAAATCCAAATCTCAACGGAGACGAGATATGTCAATAACCACGGGTGCATTGATGTAACGTANGCAAAATTCCACGGCCTTCCTAAAATAATGATACGCTAGTCACTTTAGGCGCGTATTTAATAAAGTTATCTCTTTAAACTCGGGTGCACATTGATGTGACCCAAATCCAAATCTCAACGGAGTCGAGATATGTCAATAACCACGGGTGCATTGATGTAACGTGGTTCGAGATATGTTTTCACGACGTTGCAATTCTCGTAAAATAATAATTATGAAATTGGTAAAAAGATAAAATTTGCACATAAGTTCACATTTGTATAAAATCAGATAATCAAGCCGAATATGACAGTTGAGCGACCGTGCTAGAACCACGGAACTCGGGAATGCCTAACACCTTCTCCCGGGTTAACAGAATTCCTTATCCAGATTTCTGGTACGCAGACCGTAATATAGAGTCATTCTTTTCCTCGATTCGGGATTAAATTGGTGACTTGGGACACCCTAAATCTCCCAAGTGGCGACTCTGAAATAAATAAATAAATCCCGTTTCGATTGTCCTTTAATTGGAAAAACTCCCTTGCACCCTCGCGGGTGCGGAAAAAGGAGGTGTGACACATGGTATCTAAGTGATAACAACAGAACCAAATTTATTACATGACTCAGAAAAGAAGTCTGAATAAGGTTTGCCTACTGATTTTAACATACTGCAGTTAAACAAGGACAATTTTGTTTTTATTTAAGCAATTACCTAAGGCTTGCCTAGGTGTAAAGTGATGTGCGTCAGTTATTCTGAGTTATTAAATCAGTGTGGAAATTATTTTACCCTAAGAGCATGTTGTTCTAGTTGATACGAGTGCAGAGGTTATCCCCAGTTATTTTAAACAGGATAATCAAGTATGAAGTTGTTGTTACCTCTTTTGTAATTAGCAGTTTACACTAAGTGTGAATACAAGTGCGAATGAGATCCTATAACATGGTATCTAAGATGTATGTATAAAAATCATGATGCAGAATTCCTAGAGCAGGATTTCTAAATGCACATAGCAGGATTGCAGAATTTCCTAAGAGCAAGATTTCTAAATGCACATGGTAGTGTAGAACATAATAGTAAAGTGCTAATTATTAGCAGATTTTAGCACATGATTTTTGTAAAGGTGCACATGCTGAAATAATAAACATGAGACCTAAGAGCATGATTTCTATTGCATGTATGAACCCTAAGCATGGTTTCTATTGGTGGAAGCATCACAACCATTTCTCAACTAATCAATGCTCAAAATGCTGCTTCTAAAGAGATCAGAAGGTTGAGGGCTCAGAATGCCATACTAGAAACTCAGCTCAGTCAAGCAGTTAAAGGACTCGTTCCGTTAATGAAGAAGTTGCCCGCCTGACAAAGGAAAATGATAAGCTCCGCGTGCCTCTTAGATACCTCCTAGTGACCAGTTGTCTTCTGTTATGATGTTTTGTGACTGTTGTTTCTATTTTTGGTTGTCTTTTTGCTGATGGCATGCTGGATTTCACCATTACTGCTCCTGTTTCGCTCAGTCCATTGTTCATATCAATGAAACAACTCCTATTTTTGCTTGTACAATGTTATTTTCCTTTGGCTTCTCTTTTCTGTCATGTTGTGTGCACATATGTGGCATGAGTTGGATGCGTTAGACTTCTTTATGTTGTTTGCCTGCTTGTGTATTTTTAATAATGCCAAAAGGGGGAAGAGATAGTAGTATAGTATTGTGAAATGGGGGATCAAAAGGATCAAAAGGTCAGGGGGAACTTGTGAAAAATTGATTCAAAACAAGGGATCTGATTAAGGGGAAATTAAAAGCAAAAGGTCAGGGGGAACTAGTGAAGTTCCTGGTACCTCATCTGGTTATTCCCATTCTAAACAAATACTATCAATGCCTAAGTTTGTCATCATCAAAAAGGGAAAAATTGATGGGGTTTCAATGTCTTTGCCTTATGTTTCTTATGTTTTGATGATTTAACAAACTTATTGTTAAGAACGAGATAGGGAACCTGACTCACTTGGTACAAATTTCAAATGAACAAAGTTCAGTCTGAACTCGAGCTAATGAACTGCTACAAGGAGGAACACGACATGGACCTGATCCCTTGGTGTTCTCTGACAGAAGTACAAGTCAACTATACAGCTGGAACGCAACTACAAAAAGTGACTGCCTGCAACTATACACGCGACAGTGCAGCAGTCACTTCCCATTGGGAAGAAGCGTGTACCAAGAATAGACATCATCCTTGTGATGTCTTTGGTAGTATAACAACATGGTGGAAGACACAATATATTCACTTGAGCATTTAGTGATATTCTCTCAAGCATTAAAGGGTTGATCCAACATTGAAGTCACAAGTGTGTCAAGAACAAGAAGACAACTCCACTAAAGGATCAGTTTCACAATGAGTCTATGTGTATCCGTAGTCGAGTTGTAATCTTGTTATTTGTTCTTCATTGTAACTCCTACCCTGCTTTCTTAGAAGCTGTGTTTTAGGAAATCCAAAATCACAAACCTTCTAAGTTTGTGTTGTGACTAGAGTTAGTCATAAGTTAAAGCCTTTATATTTAGTGAGTGACAAAGTGGCTTGTGATAGGTGTATCACGATTTAGTTGAGTTGAAGTCTTTGTAATAGAGTCATTACAAAGTGGCTTATAATAGTGTGATTACAAGTTAGTGAAGTTGAAAGCCTACAAGTATAGGTCGTGGTTTTTGTCCCATTGAGTGAGATTTTTCCACGTAAAAATCTCGTGTCTCTTTTATTTACTGCTTCATTAGTATTCTCAGTGGAAACTCATAGAAGACCAGGTACTCTATAGTTTGGTGGACTCATATAAACTAACAGAGACATTGAATCCCATTTATTTTGAAAGACAAGGTCTAATATTTTTTTTTCAAGTTATGAAGTTGTGTTTGTTTAGCATTTTTTTGAAAAAAAAAAAAGAGAGAAAGATATGCAAACATTATAATCACCTTATTTTCACACACAAAAAAAATCAAATATTGTAGAACATAAAAAACGGCTATGAATTTTTCAGGGTAATCTGGAATTTTTTTTATTGACAATGAATATGTGGCTAACGTATTTCATATGCATCTTTTCCTTTTGAAATAGAAACAAAGCAATAAGGATAACAAGTTCAAAATCAAGTGAGGGGATGAAATCCCAACAGTATCTCCACAAGGCGCGAAGAAATGCTAAAAACACAAGTTCATGCCATTCAAAACAAGACTCTTAACTAAAGATCAGATTACTTAAATCACTAGCTATTGAGTTAGCATGCCTAGAGATATAGGTTGATAATAGTGACCATATAGTTCGTAGTCAAGAGCTTAAGGGCGAATTTATAAGGTAGTTTATGGGGCACGTGAACTCGTGATCTCTCCGCCAAATTAGGTTTTATGTATAGATTTTCTAGAATTAGTCTAATATTAAATATTGGCGTCCATGCTCTACAGTGGCTAATGGTGCATGGGTTGAATATTTTACCCAAAGGAACAAGATCAATCCTCACTTATACCTACTTTTCTTCTTCTTTAGTAGTGTACCTATATTTTAAAAATCTTAGATCCGCCTCGACAAGAGGTGACAATGTGATCGACAAGTGACAAGATTACTATTCTTATGAGACACAGACCGTTTAATAGCATAGATTTCTAAGTAAAAAAAAAAAGTTGAGTTCATACCCTTGAGTGTGTCTTCCCAAAAATAAATCTTCTTTATGTTTTCGTTCTTCATTTGCTAGAAAATCTGCACACTTGTTTGCCTCCTTCCCCTTGTGTATAATAGCGATCTTGCCCTGTATTAATTGCGGAAGGTAGACATCCACTCCTCACTGCAATTTGTTAGTTTTGTCTTTTTAGTCAAAGACTAAGATCCCTAAAGACAAGGAAGCTTCACATAGAACATAGTTGCTTCATCTTATCAATTGCACCATTTAGAATTTAAGTTTGTTTTACACCTAGAGACTTGCACCTTGTTACGATCCAAATTACATCACAACAATCGTGATAACACTTAATTTTTAAAACTAGGTAAGTCTAATATTTAACATTTATTTAAAACAGTAAAAATATAATATAAAGAAAAAGAATCTATATTATTATATCTATAATAATTGAAGGCCATTAGCCCGGTGACGTGGCAATCTTAGCGAGCATGATTTGCATTTATCTTTTCCTACATTTGTTTTCATTTTTTTCCTGACTTCAACCGTGAAAACAATAAGTGATGACATATTGACACCGCTTGAGAAACACCACCGTCTCTTTCTACGGCTGTTTAGTCCCTAATTGATAATGGAAAAGGGCACTATGGAGAGACATCAAATACATAGTATTGATCCAACTGTCGACAATCCATTTAAGATACTATCAAAATTACAGCACCGGTAATCTGAATTTGGGATTCATTTCATACACTGAAGTTGGTAACTTTCTTCTTTTTTCCATGATCGAAAACTAAAAGGTACATTTCTCTTGAAACTTCTGACCCAAAATTTCTTCTTCAAATCTGATATTGTTCACTTTTTATTTTTATTATGTTGCTTCACCGTTGTTGAACTTATTGGTTTACTCTTTTCTCTGCTAATCTCTCTATTCTTTGAATGAACATTAAGACTCACATCGCAAAGGCAAAATGAGGGAATAAATACACTATTTAGCCTCTTTATTTAATCTCTCAATACTTTCCTCATCTGCATTTTCATTTCACGTGTTCTAATTACTTAATTCGGGGGGGGGGGGGGGGGGGAGGAGGAACAAGATTCTGGCGCCCATGATGTGTTCGACATAATGACCACACAGAAAATTGCCCACTGCTTCTGTAAATGATGCTAACAAGTGCCCAGTTATTTAATTATCAGTGGTGGGTCAGTAACTCTTTCAGAAGAAATCTTTAGCATCTATGCCTTTTTTGCTTATATTTGCGGCATGTAAAATTTACACCCTTTCAATTTAACAAGTGAATGTTTTTGCTGAATATATATATGGAACAAAATACCATGAATAATTGGGGATGAGGGCCGAGAATAATTTAGACTCTTCATCAATTGCATCTTCCTGTTTACCATCTATGGTTGAAGTAACTTCCCTATAAATTAAGTGTTAAAAGTACATTCTTTATCATTGTTTGCTATTTATCTATGTAGGTGCTATCTATTTTTTCGTTTTACTATCAATAATATGAGAAATTGATTACGCCAGTTATATTTTGTGGTATTGTGAATGTTCCTTAATGCTTGACGAAAAAGAATAATCATAATGTTGCAGCTTTTTAGTACGACTATACTATTGACACTTGCCAAAAATGAATACCCATATTGATGGATTTTTGACAGATAAAAGAAGTCCTCACATGGTGAAAGAAGCTCGTGATAAGAATATCAAAATTGTGGGATCTATTATCATATGACAATGCCTTAGAAAGAAGCATTGTTGTTGCAACAACACCTCAACTGTAGAGAGGCAACAGAAAATCATCTTCTTGCAAACACAAATCATGTCACCTCCATATCAAATGCAGGGTAATCTTGCGGTTACACCTTCCTTCTACTTCAGAAATATGTTAGAATATCGAATCTTCTATTTATTTATTTCCTCATACATCATATATATGAATATAACAATGGTTATGCATGAATAAATTAATTTTTAAACAATGGTATCCGTCCAACTTGCATGCTCTATCAATTTAATTTTTTCCATGTGGTAGTACTTATTGTTGAGTTTTCCCCCATCGGATTGATTTGATAAGGAATAATGTGGTTCATGCTTTTCAGTTTCTTTTTTAAGTTAAGCCCCAAAACTTTCCATGCGGTAGAACTGATTGTCGAGTTTTTCCCCCATCGGATTGATTTGACAAGGAATAATGTGGTTCATGCTTTTTCAATTTTTTTAAGTTAAGCCCCAAAACTGTAGTAATACTCATTTATGTTTCTTCCTATCAATAACTAAACTATAAACTGAGAAACTTGTTATTGTTGCGCTCATGGTCTCTTGATAAATCTTTCAGTGCTTATTTGAATGTGAACTAGGACTTGAAAGCTAATATATTCAACTCTATTTGTCAAGAATAATTGTGTAATGTGATTGTTGTAATTTTGCTGCTTGGACACAGTTAACATTTTAATCCCTCTAAAACTCCTTTCAAGTCAATTTAGTATTTGGCTTTGTTAATTATTAACTACTTATTATTTTTCTTACATTTTCAGACTATACAGCTCAGATTTGATCTTTAAATAATTTGGCGTCATTTTATATGTTTTTTAGTAATTATAGCAGCTAACCTGCATTTAATTTCTTTATGATGAAAGATTATACTATGGAAGTCATGTGATATGTATCGAGATAATGCCAGTCTATTCTCTTCTACAATGGTTTTAAAGCCACCAGCAGATTGCCACAACTTAGCTTAATGTATTAGTTGTGAATTAGATATCATACATACTTTTTGTTAATGATAACGAGGATGTATATGAAACGGCATATGATTTTGCAGACAATATGGAGGATTACCGTGTTACCAGTAACTTATTAGGTAAAGATATTATGTGGTAGTATACCGATGACATAATATCTTTAACCTAAGTTGCTCCGACACTTCAGTTTAGGTGCCGCACCCGTGTCGACACGACACTAGTATGGGTGTGGGTATGGGATCCGTACCAAATTTGGTCAAACACTTTTGGGTACTTTGACCACAACGGACGGAAAATTCGATATAAGATACAATTTGATTCCCGAAATCAAAAGCAAAACTAGAATAATTTTGAAGAAAATAACATACCTTATCTACGACATCAATCCTTTACTTATTTATAACTTGAAAATAAAAAAGAAATCCACACTTTACAAGCTATACGTAAGTATTCCACTAAATTTCTTACAAATTTAGATATATATATATATAATTAATTTTAGATCCCCGCACCCATATCTATACTATGATCCGTATCCCCGAATCTTAGCATTTACATCTCGAAGGATCCGACCTCTAGATCCGCACCCGTGTCGGACACCCGCACTCGTGTCCGAGCAACTTAGTCTTTAACTCATTTAAATTTACTTTCATTGTTCTCCTGACTTATTTATGTGTCGAGGCATGTACCTATTGTTTTATATATGTAGACCATTTTATGTGCGTAGCTGATTTGGATATTTATAGTGGCAATATAAAGAATGACTCTCTATAGTTTATATAAAATCATATACTGTGAGAAATTTAGTTGAGTGAAGAAAAGGGAAAAAACGTACACGTAAATTTTCTTTTAATCAAATTCTTGGTGTGGCATTGAACACCATGATATTGAATGGGGCTTTGGCTACTTGATCCCAAGAAGAAGAAAAATTAACTAGAGTTGTGGCTGAGAAGTTATTTATATATACGTAAAAAATGGTCTTTTATTTTTTATATTCATCGATAATTTACAACACGATAGATATTGCTACAATGTAAAATATATTAAATTGCCTAAAGGAAAATATATTTACCTTTTTTAACTTCATGTGTTGTTTTATTTTGTTCTTAAAATCCCTTATTTAGTTAAATTATTATTTGTTGATTTATTTTGGAAGTGTGTTTATGACAAGAATTGCATATTTCTTAACACCTAACCTTTTAGTTCTCATTTTTTATGAATAGATTCCTAGATATTGCTCAAAATGCATTGGCCATTAATTTTATTTTATTTTCCTTTCCCTTGTCCACCTTTTGCTTTTTCTCTAGGAGTTCCTTGTGTGGATGATCTTTTTTCAAAGTTGGATTCTTTTTTTCATGCAGGTGGTTGGAACATTGTCCTTATTGCTTGCTCAATCTCCCAAGCTACACAAATACTGGTCTTACACATGCTCACCGTGTTTATTGTAGTTGGTAAATATCTTAATTATGATATTTACTTGCTTTTGTTTGCCCTCTAACATACTATTGATATGCCTATCACCTCTGTTGAGTTCAAAATTGAGTAGTGTGCAGTTAATAATAGTAATCATAATAAAACAGTCATATATTCTTCGACGGAGACTAAATTTCTAAATTTTACTGTTGTAAATACATAAAAAGTTATGGTGACCATGAGTTTTTTCATTTTTTTTTATATTTTGTTGTTTATATGTATATCATTTTCTAATTTTATTACTTATGATCTTTAACTATGTTTCTCTTCATAGTTTGAGCGTATAATCATAGTTACTTCATCGTAGATGATCTCTTCATCAAATTGCTTAGGTTTTTCTTTCAAGCGTTCTTCTTTTCCGATCTTCAACTTAGGCTTTGTTTGTAGAGTGAAGAAATAACTCTCTGGTAATTAGGGGAATTGCATTTGCTTCGCTTCTTCGGAACGACATATAATTTCATAAATTCTACTTACAGTCTTTAGAGTTATAACTTGCTTCAATTTGTTCAAGTAAAATTTATTCCCTTTGGTTGATTAAAATTTTATAATCTTTATTCAAAAAAATTATATTTTATACTGGAAAAATATTATAAGGTGTAATTACCTTATAAGAGAAAAGACTCCCAGACACACACATGTGAAAATTTTACTTTTTTAAGTACTGTTTTATTTCTCCTCCCTCCTATTTAAAGTCCTTTTTGTAAGAAGTTTTTTTTCCCTCTCTGGTGCTTGCATTGTAATTTATGTTTATGTTCAGAATCTCATGATTCTATTCCTTATATTTGTGTTACTTAAATATTTAATCAAAAAATAAATAAAAATTCTCATAGCATATATTGTTAGCTTCTTTAATATTTTAATTCCTGAGTTTCCACTACTAAAGTTTTCCTCCTCCAATTTCTTCGCCCTTTTCTCTTTAGTGATTTTGTCGGTTCATTACTTTAGTATTTTTCTGTTGTCTTTGAATTTCTTTTTAGGTTTGTTGATTCGCGACTTTTGCCTTTGCATTATTCTTCTTATAATATAGCTAATAACCTGAAGATTTAGAAATTGCCTTTCCTCTATTCTGATCTATCTCCTATTAATAAATTTTCGTGGCGTTAAGTGTTTATCATTCGGAAAATCTACTCAAACCCTGTGTTAGAAAAATGGTATAAGCATAGCTTTGTATAGTTTTGTCATCTAAAATCCCTCATTTGGCCATGTAAAGATACAATGGCCAACTGCCAATAAGGCTGGATGTTAACCTGAATAAATAGTCATACTACAAAAATAAAAAGAAAGAAAAATACTGAAAATAGTCCTTAGCTTGTGAAATTTTTTGCTTTTAGAAATCGATAAAAGAGCAAGGGTCACGACCATAATACATGTATGGAATGGGAAAGCAAATAGAAAGTATGGAATGGGAGAAAGTTAAAAACTAACAAAGGATTACATCGGCATTATAGACAATAGTTATACTGTTAGGAGAAAGAATATTATTTTTTATGCTCTTTTTTATCAATGCTTCAAAAAAAATACTGTTGTTATTTAATACATATGTTTGACATCTCTTATAAATTGACTAATATTTTAAAGGAGTAATACAAGCCACAATGTCAATACTAAACATAACTCACCAGATCTATGTAGTACCTGCAGTTAGATCTTGCAGGGATACCTTGAAGTCTTCGTTGAATGAAATGCCTCACTGTCGATTAGTCCGAAGTACCGACTTTATCTTATTCAAATATGTTTAAAAAAAAGCTATGAAAAAAGGAAAAATATAGTGGTAATATCTCACTAAACATGCTAATTCATCATTTTCAAAGCACTTAAGAGAGATATAGATTGCATCTATTCTTTCGTCAATACACGACGGTGTATGCTTACATACAGTAAACAATAAGTAGCACAGAGAAGACTAAGACTAGCAATAAATCAGGAAAAATTATTGATACTAAAACCTTGCACGAAAAGAAGTCTTAATATAGATAAACTCAACAAAGCTATCCCCCAAAAGTCCTCTACTTAGATAAACGTTATCATTCACACACTGACAGCTTAGCAAAAATAAAAGTGACTTAGTATCCATCATTGTCTCTAGCTTGACCATAGCCGCCACCAAATCCACCACCGGAACCGCCAAAACCTCCGCTTCGAGGAGCTCTCTCTTGGGCAATACTAACACGAATATTCCTTCCCTGGAGTTCCTGCAAGGACATAATGTATGATCAGTGCCATGACGAATAAAGTAAAGCAGTTAACGGAAACAACAATATATAGCCACGACTGATAAAGTAAACATGACTTGCGCCAACAGGACCAAGTCTTCTGATATTTCCCTAATGAAATTTACCTGACCATCCATTGCCTTAATAGCCTCATTGGCACATTCATCATCTGAGAAGTTCACAAATCCAAATCCCCTTGATCTGCCAGAATCTCTGTCAACAATTACCCTTGCTGGACCAAAAAAAAAACACAGTTCCTGAGTATTCAAACACTAGCGTAAACTGAGCAGCAAGCTAAGAGTAACAGTTCAGAGGAACCAAAACTACAATTGCAACTCCAAACTTAACAATTCCTACCCCATCTCAACCAAGAAAGAGAGGTAATAACTTACCTGACAAAACAAATTCACAATAAACCATAGTACTGCAAAGCTCCCTGCCCAATCACTAGGTAAGCTACAACTTAAAACTAAAGATTAACAAATCTGAACTGCTCAATTTACCCCAAAAAAAAATGTAAAACCCCCTGTTCAAGAGCTGCTGAAAGCCCATCAAAATTTCCATCAGTATGGTCTTTATTGAGAACTTAAACCCATAAACTTATACAGAAAAACCACACTACAATGAGTATAAACGGACACACAGGGCATGATCTACAGATCCTTCATAAACTACAATGATACCACATTATTATGTGAGCTTACTTTTCACTATGTTTATTCAAACGATGTCCGCAGAGATAAGAAAACTATTGAAAATAAAGCAGCAGACATCTGCCCCTGGAGCTTACCATCAACAACATCACCAAAGGTAGCAAAGGCATCTCTCAGAGACTGATCATCAGTTCCCCATGAAAGACCTACAAAATATATGGATGAATAAGCAAATACATACATGTTGCACAAAATTATCAGCTGGTAACTACAACCAGTAAGAATTTTAAAAGACTATTCGAAACATACCACCAACGAAAAGCTTCGTCGACATGCACCGGACGGCATCAAGCATTGACGGCATTGGTGATGTTGCACTTACTGCATTTCCAGAAATGCTCTGCCTCAAAAGACCACCGAGTTTGTTGTAGAAAGCCATTTGTGCAGATAAATTGACAAATCTACACGTACAATTGAAGTCGAGACATCAATAACCAGCTATTGGAGTATCATAAAATGAAAACCCAGGAACACACAATCACTTAAAAAATGTCAAATAAGATATCAAGAAATCATGTGTTCAGATTGTGTGAATTTATCAAGTCAGTTGATTTAAAGAGCATAACAATCATAAAAAGTAAGAAAAAAATAGAACCATGAACGATAATTAAGCAATTGGAACAGAGTTATATTATAGGCACTAATTGCGGAAACTTGACTTTTTCTAGTTCCTGCTATGCAGCAACAGTGAATCCTTAGAAAACCAAACCCCAAAATGTGTGATGTTTATTCCCCACATATCTGGCCTAATGTCCAGGGGCGGATGTAGCTTACAAGCTACAAGTTTAACCGGATTCAGTATTTTTTTCCTTTGTTTTTTCAAATAACATTGATATATATGTGAGAATCATTAAACTCTAACAAATAATATATATTGAACCCATAATTTTAAACGTAAAATAAGTTTGGTCTTAAGTTTTTATATAAGCTTAACCTATCAAGTTTAATTCTTGGATCCACCTCCGCTAACATATTAATTCAAAGAAGTCACTGAATGAAGAAGCAGATGTGTGATGTTATATTCCCCGCATATCTGGCCTAATGTATTAATTCAAAGAATACACAAAATCCAAAGGAAATGCTGATTTTGTACAGTACATATTTTATTTTAGTAATATGACACTTCTCAAAGGAGAATAGTACAAAACAACACGAGATTGGTAAACAACGAGGTGATCTTATTCATATTGTAAGTGGGCATATGAGATCATTTCCTCAAAATTTCAAAGAAAATGCTTTTATTCTAATTTACAAATTAAAAAACTAGCACCACAACATCCATTAGTCTTGCGCAAAAAAAATATGAAAGAAATCACAGCAAATAAACACTAATATCAGGAGCGGAGCTAGCCCTGCGGTCAAACCCGGTAGCTTTGTCCAACCCTATATTTGTTTTAAGAAATCCATTGAGTATATTATAAATAACTAATTTAGAACTCAATAGCTTAAACGAACTAGAACATAAGCTTCAAATCCTGTTACACCTATAACTAATACTGACCTAGCATACAATATGCAAAGAAATTACACCAATCATAATTAGGATCAGAACAAAGCAGCAGCAGCACCAACACCAACACCAACACCAACACCAACACCAACACCAACACCAACACCAACACCAACACCAACACCAACACCAACACCACCAACAACAACAACAACAACAAAGCGTATCACAAAAACTCGGCTAACTAATACTGACCTAGCATACAATATGCAAAGAAATTACACCAATCATAATTAGGATAAGAACAAAGCAGCAGCAGCACCAACACCACCACCCCCACCACCACCAACAACAACAACAACAAAGGGCAGAGAGGCTGTTTCCAGGAGAAACTCGGCTAGGATCAGAACAAAGCGTTAAAGAGAAAGCATTCATAATTATTAAAAGTAAGAGCCTCACAAAAACTGTATCACAAGACCAGACAACTAGAAATGTTAGATCAAAAAGCTAATTATAACAAAAAATTGAATAATGAAACGGGGAAAAAAGGATTTGGATCCAGTTTAAAAGAGATATACCTGAGGAAAGAGAGTTTTTGAGGGTTTAAGGAGAGAGAGAAACAAATGAGGAGCGGCTAGGGTTTAAGCCACTTCTCAATGCAGATACAGAAAAGGATATAAAGGCGGTGATCGTTGAGGAAAAATATCTTTGGCCTTTTTATAGCCTCATGACTGCTTCGAGGTGTTGTACGTTTTGCGAAACCATAGTCTCATTTGGGTCATATTTGATGGCAAAATACATAAGTTGTCAGCTGACATATGGCCCAAATTCCCCTTACATATTTTTTGTGGATGATAATAATATTATACACGTAATCTTTCTAAAGTGTATCTAGTACACATTATTTTTTTTGATCAGCTTTTCAAAATATGTTTAATATCACGCACCAATAATATTGTGACACGTGTCAAAACAGAAAGAAAATACACTAAAATACCTAATTTACACCATAATTAAAATTTCTTCTTTAAAAAAAGAAAAAGTAAATAAAAATGATCCCCCTTTCCCGCTTTTAGTAATTCCTCCCCCCCGGCCCCAACCCACTTAATCATCTTCTCCACAATCTTTCCACCATTAACGCCATAGTTAGTAGCACCGTGTCCCATTTCTCAATATTGTCAATGGAGCTTGATTCTTAGAGATGAATAAGAGCTAAAGATGCTCATCTTGTTCTACAAAAAAAAATTTATTTTTATTAAAATCACCATTGTCATAACAGTACCTCTATCGCCATTAATTTTTAGAGCAAAATCCACAAACACTATAAACCCCCTTTTCAAACCCATTCAATTAAAAAAAAATGAAGTCAAAGAAAGAATCAACAGATCTGAAAATAAATTATAAAAAAAATATAGAGAAACTAGTCATTGATTTCATTAGCAGATCTGAAAGGGTTAAATCTTGGAGGAGATGACTAATAATTTAGAACTTGGATCTAGCTCTACAATTATTGTTGTGTTTTAGAGTTTAATCTATGGAGAAGACAAAGTGGGTGGCCAGGGGAAGAGGAAAACGTGTGGGGTGGTAGGGTGTGGAAAATGGACCAAATTATCTAGAGATGAAATAGTTAAAAATAGAAAAAGAAGAATTGACTCAAAAAAAGTTTAAAAGTAAAAAAGGCTGGACATATGGCATTTAAGTAATGATTAAGACCCAAAAGTTTTACATTCACCCGCCTCTTTTACGTGTAAAATGCGCGCGCGCCATCTGTCAAATGTGGTGTGTACTAGATACACTTTAGAAATGTTGTGTGTGTAATATTATTATCGTCCACAGAAAGTGTGTAAGGGGGATTGGGTCATAGATCAGGTGGCAACTTATGTATTTTGCCTATTTTGATTGTTATAGAGAGCATGTATTTTAACATAGCATGAAAATCGATTCCAAAAAAAAATTGACTTTTATAATACATGGTCGTTATATAGCGATGATGTTATATAAAAGTTTGACTGTATTTGTATTAGAAAGTTATAGAATATTTCTAAATATTTAATTATGAACTCAGTCACTAAGACGAGCTATGAAAGTGACGAATTCAAAGCTCGTAAATTACAAATCCTAGCTCCGGTTCTGCCTCCATTAAACTTTTTTTATGACGTGCTGAAGCCGTTTCGATTATTTTATTATCGATTTACTACTTCAAATTAGCATATATACCATGTAATTCTATTTATTAAAATTTGGACATATGAGAATAAATTACCTAATGTGTTATTTACGAAATTGAACTTGAAATCTCATGTTTTTTGGGTTAATTTCACTGATGGTCACTCAACTATGTTTCAATTTTAATAAAGTCACTTAACTATTTTTTGTCACTTAAAAGTAACTAAACTTTCACATTGTCACTTAAAAGTCATTTTGGCTCAAACCTCTACCATAAATATGACATGGCATAAAATTTAATGAGAAAAATCCAAAAATAAATATCACATAAGCTTAAATGGATCGTACCCACTTTAGATCCATTTCTTCCTTAATATGATTTGACTCATAACCCAAATAATCATATAGTCTTAGGGTACGCGCTTTGCGTGTATACCTATATCAATGAATATAAAAAATTTTAAAAATACGTAAATATTATGAAATAATGTATTTTAGTTATTGAACAAATATTAAAGAAAATAATGTAAGTTCCTAAAATAATCAATGTTAATCTTACTAAGCTAGCTCAATAAAACAAAAAAATCCTACTCCACATAAATTTTTATATGCCCTTATTATGATTTATGAGGCGTGAAATATCTTATAAAAATTATTGTTATTCTTATTACCAATTTTTTTTTTGGCAAGGGAGATAAACTTTTATTTAATACTCCTTTATTACCAAATACTATAAGCAAATAACACAAAAAATATTTTTACCACCATTATTCAAAGATAACAAAACAAATTGAAGAATTTGAAATTTTTGGTATTTTAAAAATTTGTGAGTGATGAGGTAGAACTCCTCATAGAAAAATATTAATAAATAACAATAAATATTTTAAGTAACTAATACCGAATTACAACAATATATAATAATATATTAAAAAATATAGAAAATTATTATTTATTTGAATGAATATAAAAAGAAAGAAAAATGGTAACGACACTTCTTTTGAATACCTTTTGTCTTATGTTATGTCCTTAATGCTTCAACTTAGCATGTTTAGCAATTTAATTTTAATACTATATCATAACGGATTTTGCTCTATTTTCTTATTTCTTTCACGGCCGATGCTTTTCTAGTGAAAATAAATTTATGTACCTTAAAAGTTTTATCAACTTGACAAGTAGTTTTACTTACATAATGATTTTGAAAAATATTGAGCTGGTTTTTTATTTTTTTTGGTAATTTATTTATTCAAAGACTTAATTATTTGTTGATATTTCATGCTTTTAAGATAATATAGAAGTTGCGAATAGTTTTCGAATTTTTTCTTACTCGAACAATATATTATTCTCTTTGTTAATTTGTATAATATTTATTAATTAGAATATATATTTAATTAGGTACCAAACCTCTTACTTTTAATATTACATCTCGTTAGAACTATAAGTTCCCTAATAAGAAGAATGGATGGGTCTTCTCTCTAAAACACTAACTTTTCTCATCCCCTCATTAATTCTTCTCCTCGTTTCTGTCCAAATTCAATTCCCAATCCCCAATCTAGAATCGATTCATATACCTCCCAAACCACCGAACGGTTTGAATTCCCAAAAAATACAAACATTTCAGGAGCTGGATGAACAAATCAGTACTTAAACATCTGTTCCCACACCCCCTCCTTCTTTCAAACCCAAACTCCTGGAACAAAGAGACCATATAGTTATAAACACTGACTTCTCAAAACATTTCCCATCCTTCTATGTTGTTCAAGATCAGGAGATGTCCACTCATGCCTCAAAAGATGGAAGAGAAGTTAGTCCAATTATGGTTCATATTTCACCGGAGGATAGAGTGAGAATCTATGAACCTTGAAAATTTTCTCTCATCATTAAACTCCCAGGCAAAATAACCATTCACCATATCCTCAAATGTAAAGTTCAAGATCTTTAGAAATTACAAGAAAACTTCCCACTTATAGACTTAGGAAATGATTACTTTATGTCAAGCTACAAAATGAAGACAGTATGATCTCGATCCTTCGAAATGGACCATACTTTATATTTGGCTACTTCCTCTCTATCCAAAGATGGCAACCGAATTTTGTAGCAACGGAGGCCATCCAAGCATACTCAGCGGTATGAGTGAGATTACCTCAACTTCCCATGGAATTCTACGATGGCCAACTTCTACAAAAAAATAGGTAGTGTCATAGGAAGACTCCTTAAGGTGGATGCATGCACTTCATCCTCCTTGTGAAGAAGATACGCTAGGCTCTGTATAGAGCTACCTTTGAGAGTTCTAGTTTTAAAATTCATCTACATTGGCACCCATAAACAGTCCATTCTCTACAAGGCTGATCATTTCCTATGCAAAAACTGTGGTACATTAGGACACCTAACTAAAAACTGCTACGTAAAATTAGACATTAAGGAAGTTTCTAAGGTTACCCAACCCCAGAACCCTCAATCCAGTGACAATACCCCAGATACACTCAATGATTGACACACAGTCTCTTTTTCAAGGAACAAAAAGAAGCAGGATCAAAAGAAAGGCAAGGGAGTCGCCACCACAAATCAAGATCCTAATATTGAGGTAAAATTATTCGATGCTGCCACAGGTAAGTATTTAATCACCAAAAAATTATGATATATTGCTAAAAACTCTGTAGTTAGCTCTGCAAATTACATGTCGAATATTACTAATGACCTTCAAATCTTTGAAACCAAGGATCATAAAAAATCTTTTACTAATAAAAATTGTTTCTCTAGCCTTGGATCAGAAAACCATCAAATGGTTTTAGACAATACCACCGAACAAATTAACCTTAGCTCTACGAACCCGGTTTGCATGAACCCAAACCATGCTGCTAAACCAATGTATGTATCTGAAACTTCACTAAAGGACAAAAATGGTACCCCTATACCTAACAAAACTAATAACTACAATAATTCTTTATCAACTGACACAAGGCTGCTTAATACTAGCAATAACGAGCCTATCAACTCTATTCAACAAATCAAAGATCATATTAGTCTAGACAATCAGCATGCTCAACTACTAATGGTCGACACCTCTACTATCAACTCTTATTTGTCTTACACTTGGGAACACATGCCCAAACAAATCCATGCAAAATCCCCTATTAAACCTAGCACGCTAAGTGATTCAGATTGCATGCAAATTGAAACAATCATCCCTTGCTCTCACGCACCGAGCCCCTTAAATCCCACCTATAACTCCCACCATAATGCCCAGAATCACCATCAACCCAAGGAGGAGGTAAAGGCTTATACAAATCCTAAAAAACCATCGTCCACCAACTATGAACAATCCCCCCCCCCTTCCCTCCTCAGTTTCAAAACCTTCTTCTCTTCTGTGCACAACCTCCCCTCCCACAAGATCATCACCCAATATCTTGGTTGGAACTAGGGTTAATGGGGAGGGCAATGTCACTCCAACTCAACCTAAATGGCCAACAAAGCATAATCCTAATCCAAAACCCCAGTTTCTTGCCCAACTAGTAGCCGAGGGGCTACACCTAGAAATGAACAA